GATTTTAAAACCGCAAATTACATTAAAAAAAAGGAACAAATGGTAATTACAAACATTTTCACTCAGTGGTCAAATAGTCCTTGTTTGATGGAGTTACTGTAATTATGAGACAAAGGCAGTAGTAAAGTAGAATAAACATGGAGGGTTTTTTAATCCTGAATTGTGTCTATTTGATACAACTTTATTGCAAAGAACCAGTTTCACCTGTTTCTAGGTGTGTGGATTATTGCTTTGGAACCGTGGACTGGATTAAGAAAACCTGGAACGGAGTTTTGTGGATTATATTATTTTTGTTGGACTATTTTTCATGAACTATATATATATTGCGTACACCCTTTCACTCACATGGGACTCACTGATCATTCAACTATAGAATATATTATTGTGTCTGCATTTAAAGAGATATGTTGTGTGTTTTTGTTCAGATGTATTCATTGACTTGGTAACAAATACAGAAATATTGAACTGGTTAAGAGGGGCATGTGCTGTATGTTTTCCCGTCGGTAACATGTACCCTTTGTAGAGTTTGACTCAACCCCAGCAACTTTGGTCAAACCGCTACAACACTTCATTATCAGGGTTCTTACGGTCATTAAAAACCTGGAAAAGTCATGGAAATTCAAAATGCAAATTCCAGGCCCTGGAAAAGTTATGGAAAACAATATTTTTCCCAAAGTCATGGAAATGTAACTAAAGTTGCATCAAATATAATTTATATTTTATCTAATCGCCGAAATAGTAATACTATAATGATAATAAATACTGTATCGTATAGTAATGAAACATAAAATGGCATTTAACTGACAAGGTATTTTGCTGGTGAGAGATTTTAGTTGCTTTAGCGTGTAGAAGCTAGTAAGCCTACTATTTGTTTTAGATAGGCACAACATGTTTCATATGCAGACCTTATTTTCCTGTTCCATGTTAAAATAAACCATTTTCAGTGGTACCGCTGAGAAAGAGTACTTTTTTTGGTCATGGAAAATTAGCTAAAGGTCATGGAGAAGTCATTGAAAATCATTGGTGAAAAGGTGTATGAACCCTGATTATAAGAACCAACAGCTCAGTGTAGTGACCTTACTTGAATGTAGAAAGAATATAACACATGCAGTGGAGCAGTGTAGATTTCTAATGCTGTTGTTTATCAGAGGAAATCCACATTTGGTAACAGCAGTGCTCCATCTCTCTCAGGCCTCGACGCCGACCAGTTGAAACCGGCTAAAGAGTGCACCCCCATCGAATACCCCAAGCCCGACGGGAAGATAAGCTTCGACCTGCTCTCCTCTGTGGCTCTGAGCGGCACCAACCACGAGGGGGACCAGCCCGCCCACCTCACCCTGAAGAACGACAGCGTCCCGGTGGAGAGGAACCTGGCCATCTACGACGGGCCGGAGCAGCGCTTCTGCCCCGCAGGTAACACAGACACCACAATATACATATATAAAGGGTACAGATAACAGTTCCAAATACTAAGATTGGAAGTAAGAAATAAAATGCTCTGTTTTGCAATGGTGCATAGAGTGATAATTATAATAAGTAATTAAAGAGTTTTCTATCATTTTCTTTACCGGTACAATTACTCCAGTTAATAATGATGATAGATAATACATATGGATGGATGGATGGATGGATGGATGGATGGATGGATGGATGGATAGATGGATGGATGGATGGATGGATGGATGGATGGATGGATGGATAGATAGATAGTGTTCAATTCCATCAAACAGATTAGATTAGTGAGGAACAGAAAACCTTTCAACACCTCACCTTTTCTTCTGAAACTAAGTGGAACATCTGCTGATTGTTAACAAAAAATTAAAAACATTTTAGCTTTACGTGTTTCCCGGGTTTATCCAAGATCTCCAGATGAGGACAAAGACACGTTTACACCTGGTTTTCTTTTCTGAACGCTGTGAAAACCTAATGATGTGCAGCATCAGAGAGATGCTTTGTGACAAAGAGCTGAGGGAGATAGAATAAAACAGGAAGCACTTAGTGCAGAAACTCTCAGGTTAATAAGGTTAATAACTTTTATAATAATGACAAGTGCAGCATTGTTGTTTTCTGGCAGCAGCAATTTGTGACAGCTGATCCCTGTTACATGAAATAAACGTTACATATTATACTCTCCCTTTAGAGTCTAAAGGATTTGATCACTGTGTTGCATCCCTGATTTAATTAACCTCCTTTAGAGTCACATGTCGTGCGTCACCCAGCATCAGGCTAATCAGGAGGTAATTAACCCGCAGCTTTTTACTAGTGTTTATAAAGCGCTTCGGTTTTAATGACTTTTATACAACTCTTTGATATACTCTTTCCATTAAATGTGTACAAATTAATGTCTCTTTAATATAATTAACTTCTCTAGTTTTATGCATAATTAGATAACTAGGCTGTATAAAAGAGAGCAGCGTTTACCAATTATGCAATCAATGTCCAAAGCAGTACATATTCCTGTAAACCTTTTTAATACCAAATGCATCGAGGCAATTGTTTAATCATTAAAGGGGTCTTTTTATGCTCATTTTCCGGTTCATATCTGTATGTTGGCGGGAACTTTGGGATGTTAGCCCTGCAGACCACTTACTGCACATGCACAACAACCTTTATAACACCCTACAGGAAAGGGAAACTCCCAAAAAGCACAATAGGGCTGCTTTAAAAATATGAAAATCACCTGTGTCCACATCGCACTGCTGCTGAGAGTTCTCACACTATATGGTTTATTGTTCCTTGGTAACATTTCTGACAGTCAATTCCAAGTATTTGTATAAGAAATACAATTATTAAATCTTACAGTAAGCATGGTTTAGGATACTCATGTTCAGTGAAATAAGTATGTACTTCTGATTCCTGGCATCATGAAAACAGAAATGTATTAATGAAGATGAAACGCTGCGTTGACCTTTAAAAGGGCAAAGGGCAAGTTGTCATTATTTAACTCCCTTAAAGGTCACCTATTATGCAAAATCCACTTTTTCATGTCTCTTCTACATCAACATGTGTCCCCTCTTCTTCATGTCTGTTCTACATCAACATGTGTCCCCTCTTCTTCCTGTCTCTTCTACATCAACATGTGTCCCCTCTTCTTCCTGTCTCTTCTACATCAACATGTGTCCCCTCTTCTTCCTGTCTGTTCTACATCAACATGTGTCCCCTCTGTGGAAAGAGACTGAAAGTTTCAGGAAAAAAAGATTCTCTCTCTTTTTGTCCTGATCCATTTATATAAAAACCTGTCTGAAAATGAGCTGATCAGATTTTGGCCACTTTATGATGTCATAACAATTTTGTGGCTTGTGTAACCATTAGCCAATCAGCAACCAAGGTAACCCCCCCCCCACCTTATCACCTGAATCTCCTCCTAGAGCACCATTGTGTTCTTTTTAACCAAATATCTCTCAGAGGGGCGTGGGGAGTGGCTCCTTATGTTCATCTAAAGTAACAGACATGGGGTGTTTCTCAATGTCGAGGAAAGCTGCTCCAGAGCCACTATTTCAAGGATACTACGTCATTGAGTGCCGCCGAAGGACTGTTCCAATTTCCAGGATACTTGGAGTTCTACAGAGGCCGGCGTACTTCGTTGCGGGAAATTTCGAGGCTGCACATGTGTACCCTCCGCGGTCTTAAAATCCCCACAATGCTTTGCGCTCGGACCAATTTCCAAAATCTTTATAAAAAAAAACTATAATATATTGATGAAAAACAGTATAATAGGCGACCTTTAAATCCTGACCATAACACATAAAGTGGAACACAAACTAACGTAAATATTTCACTCTTTCTCTGTATGTGTCGATCTAACTACATTACTTCCCCCCAGGTGTATACGAGTATGTTCCCCTGGAAACTGGAGATGGGATGAGGCTTCAGATTAACGCTCAGAACTGTGTCCACTGTAAGACGTGTGACATCAAGGACCCGAGCCAGAACATCAACTGGGTGGTGCCTGAGGGCGGAGGAGGGCCGGCCTACAACGGGATGTGAACATCTTGTGTTTTTTTTTTAAACCTTTTTGTCTAGAAAGATGACTGTAAAGTATCATCCAGGGCTGCAATACTTGCCAGCGATGGTGAATGTGCCTAATTATGGAACGGGAAGTAAATATATAGCTGGGTTTAAAAGGTATGAAAAATTAAATCTGCAAAAAGCAAGGATATTAGAAATATGAATGCCTTTTTTGTCATAGAAATCCTTAATTTATGCAGTTATATTACGTTTAAAATGTGGCATTGGTTGTGAAATCCATCCAAACAGGACCATTAAACTGAGCTTTGATCAAACGTTGCAGTTGCTTCATAACAGCTATAAAACAACAATATGGGCATTTCAAGTTGTTTTACAATAAAGTGGATCTTTAGCCGCTTTCACATCCCAGCACTTAGTTCCCCCATGGAACTAAAGAGCAGATCACGTTCACAACGGAATAAGTTCCCTGAGTGAAGATTACGCAAATGAAGCCGTTGACGTCACTTCTTCTTCTTCTGCTTTGGGTTTACTGGCAGGCCGCAAACAACTTCACGGCGTATACTGCCACCCGAAGTCCCGGCCGGAAGTCCCCGGAGTTGGGGAGCCTTCCGAGTAAATCGCCAGAACGCTGACATCTCCACCGCTCCCATGTTTTTTTTTGTGTTGCCATAAGTTATTCTCTCTCCGTTGGCGCGCGGGGCTAATGCTAATGCTAATGCCAGCAAATACAATGGCGGCTTCACAAAACCTTTCAGAGTTTTACGGGGCGTGGTTTGCAATTCGCCCAGCCAATCAGAAATTGGTACTTTTTTCTCCCCAGGATAGTACCACCTCTCTAGCAGGCACTGAAAATGGGGGGTAAAAGTTCTCGGAACTAAGTTCTCTTTTTGGTGTAAACGCAAAATTCCAGGCACTATCGGAACTAAATGGGAAAAGTACTCCGGTGTGATAGCGCGTATTGTGTTTTAAAACGAGGTACCCAACAAACTGTAACACATAATATATTTCCTCTGTAAATGAACAAGCAGCTCTCAAATTCAGGTTTATTCAGCATTTATTCCAGGAATATTTGGACAGCATTTGATCTGCTCAATATTGTACATAAAATCATTCGATGATATCACACTAACGAATAAAGAACTTGATTGTTGTCCTTTTTGTTTTATTCTCTGTAAAAAACATAAATAAAGACAGGTTGATGTAGGTTGTGTGGCTAAGGGCACTGTATCAAAAATCCTTAGCGTGAAACGAAACAACATATACAGTAAATGCTTTGCTGAACTACTTCAAACCCCTGGAACAAGGGCTGGTGATAAATGTTAACCCACTTTTTCAGAGCAGTGGAGTCAGCCATGCATCAGACTAACGCTCAAACTATTCATTACAGTGAGGACACGTGTCAGTATTAAGACAGGTCGAAGCTTACAACAGTTATTCCCTTAAAACAACACAGACGCTGAGATGTGGCAGCTTGAAAACATGAACAGACCTGCAAACTGAAAACACTTCACCTCCTGACAGACTGAGTGCAGCTCCCCACGCACACATGAATTCAAATATCGATAAACGTTGCTAAAGACAGAATTCATTGCATTAGGCGAGGTATTTACGCAAACATTTTGGCATAGATTTTCTTCTCCTTCTCCTTCTCCAGCTGGATTATCAGCTGAACTCTCTTCAACTCTTTGCTGATAGCTGCCAAAAGAAAACACTTTGGATTAGATCAACAAATCAATCAAAGTGACATCTATGTTTCATCTTTGGTGCTGGGAGGGATTTCAAACATTGCTTTTCACTTTTGCACATCATCAACGTTTAAATCCAGGGGAGAGGGGGGAGAGAGAGGTGAGGAGAGAGAGGGGAGAGAGAGGTGAGGAGGGAGAGAGAGAGAGGAGAGGTGCGAGTATTTATTTTTAAGGCACAAGAGAGTAAATCGTACTTATAGCTCGCTTTTACACATCTCCAAACAGCCAATAAACTGCTGCTTCAAATATCAGAAAGGAGCTGCAGATTTGCAAAGAGCTCAATACACTCAGCTTTGAGATATCAGGGGGTTGAAACACTTCCAAATTGTTCCCCTAACTCATATCTAACAGTATGATACAAGATGACTTTCTGGCGACAATGTCCTCCCATCAATCTCCTTCTTTCCACAACCTATCTCTAAAGAAAGCCATCAATTCGGCTGCTTAACTGTAGATATTGAACATAGCCATTAATGAAAAGGTATATATTCAGTTCCTTTAGAACTTGAAACACGGTTTGAGGAAGCTTGGTATAAATCACAATGACTCAGCCATTGTGATTTATGTGAAGTACTTGAATTTAACAACCGTCTGAATAGCATTTTATCGTGAGTCACTCTCAGATCAAAGTAGATACATAATAGTGATTTTCTTTTGAAAATGGGTACACAGGCTTTTGTTGGCTTGACAAATCCTCTCAGTCTAGGAAGTGAATATAGCCATACATACTCCTAAGTATGTTATTCTTGAGCAATTACCCTGAGATCTGAGATAATGATGTTTCGGTCGCATGCTACTTAATTCCCTCAATCAAATCAGGACAGGATGTTTTCTTGCGGTCCTAGGACTATTTTTCTTCATGAGCTTGCATACTAAATTTGAATAATACATGTGAATATGCATGAAATGTTAAAACGAATATGCAAAATGTGGGAGACGGCGGAACATTTTTTGCATCATTCTTGGAATTGATCAAGACTGAAGAGACAGACAAATGTTGAAGGATTCCCCACCTTTGTCTTCTGGAGCTACTGCGTGCGCTTTCTTCAGATCAATCTGAAAGGAGAAGAAAACAATTGGGTGAGTCAATGTGACCTCAGAATGCCCCTGTATAATTACTGTCTGCAAAACCAATGCATTCTGTTGGATCTTGTATAAACCAGGGCATGTAATAATGAAATAAGCATTGTTATCACCAAGTGCCTAACTACAATACATTACAGAACAGGGGAGACCGTTGCTAGTAATGCTGTATAAACCAGATAATTGATATTTTTAGACATACATCATTGTGTACATTTTCAACTGTCAGTGGGCAGGATATCTTCATTTTTAACAGCTATTTTAAATCAGGTGCGTGTGTGTGTTGTGTGTGTTACCATGGCTTGGCTGTTCTCCTTCAACCCCTGCCAGGCCTGGGCCCTCCGGAAAAGTGCCTTAGTGCTCGCCTGGTCCAGCCCGAGAGCCTGTGAGACACAACAGAAAAACATCAGAAATGATCCTCCTTGAATGTTCCATTACATTTTTGCCATTTAGGTTATTTTATATATTAAATCTTCATTATACTTCCCCCAAAACGTATTAGGCAGATGGGCTCCAGGCAACAATATGTTTAATTGCATTGAATCATATTTCTGCGAAGTTGATTTTATCATTCCATAAAAAAAATTAAGTCAACTTTAAAGATAATACTCGTAGAAGGACAGAAAGTACGCAGCCGAAAAAAATCTGCCACTTCCTTACAGAGCCCCTCCTCCAACACACACGAACGCGCACATGACCAGTGAGGGCACGAGATAAGTTTGTGCACAGATGGAAGGCTGACAGGCAGGTAGGCCATCCAGTTATTTTAGCCGGGCCGGCTCAGATGATTGGTCGTGCTTTTTACAGCGCCACGGCTTCCACAGATGACATTTTTTTATGGATTTTTTGTCAAAGCATTTAATATATTCATTGCTATCGGGATGTTAAGAGCATTCCATGGAATATAACAAGTGTTTCTGAAGTGAATTACCTACCCCACCTTTAAAGCCCTATATGGCAATATTACCGATAGTGAAAACTGAAGAAGTAGACCAGTAGTTTTTTTGTCATCTTACTGACAAACAAACACACCATAATCCCCATGTCCTTTATGGAGGTAGTGAAGAGATACAGACTCAGGGACAGTTTCATCCCACAGGCCTTAAGACTGTTAAACACCTGAACTTTTGAAAGAACACCCATAACATTCATCTGTTTGCAACTTATATATATCAATATTCCAATTACTTGTATATAGACTACTCTGCACTATTTCTATTATATTATATTTTATTTGTAGCCTGTGACCTAAGATTTGTCATAACTACACTGTAGCTATGTTCAAATGACAATAACATCCTTGAAACTTGATATTGCATACTTAAAACAAATGATTCACCATTTAAGGAAATTCTCCTCTTTGCTCTAAGGACACATTGCACCCCCCCCCAACTGTACCTCGTTGCAGCTGTCCTGAGCATCCTGCCACTGCTCCATCTTCAGATAGCAGGCGGCGGTGTTGAGGAAGCAGCTGAGGGCGGTGGGCTGCAGCTTCTTCTGCACCCCTGCCTCCAGCAGATCTCCACTCACCTCCATGTACCTGCACAGGGACAAACACACTCATTGTTAGGAAGACACCAGCAGCAGATGGGTGCGTATTCCCAAAGTCATTTCTGCTCACTATTCCTCCAGTTTGTTCTTCTTGTATCATGTGGAGAGTGTATTTAAATGGATCTTCCTACTAAGAGGCACACTTCCTTTAGCAGATTTAGCTCTGAAAACATAACCATTTCTGTTTAAAGGTAAGGCTGGGCATGTTCTATATTCTTCTTAATGGCAACAAATCCAATAAAAAATACCACACACACACACACACACACACACACACACACACACACACACACACACACACACACACACACACACACACACACACACACACACACACACACACACACACACACACACACACACACACACACACACACACACACACACACACACACACACACACACACACACACACACACACACACACACACACACACACACACACACACACACACACACACACACACACACACACACACACACACACACACACACACACACACACACACACACACACACACACACACACACACACACACACACACACACACACACACACACACACACACAATTACCTGAGAGCTTTGCTATACTTGTTGATTGCACCTTTCCAGTCTTGACTCTTGAAAAGGTTGTTTCCAATATTTTTAACGTCCTCAGCCAGTAACAGAACTTTGTCCACCTGAGAGCAAAGGGAAAGAAAACAGAATCCTAATGAGACAGGACATCAAAACAAAGCGTTGCGTCCACTTCACTTTGAGGTCAAATCAAAGAGAGATGTGGAACTAATCCATTAACCCTCATTTTGGGGACAAGCCGTTGAATGTATTTGTTAAGCCTGACACGTCGTGGATCTCAATATTCATTTTCCCATCTGATTTTGGATAAGGCACATTTCCCCAAAAGCCTGTGATCCTTTAACGGGGACCCTCAGAGCCATCCGATCCTATCTGGCAGTGTACCCGTGTCCTTGAAGATCAAAGACCCCACGATACTCACATCTTTAAAGTCAACGTCGGAGTCCTCTGGGAATTCAGGGTGGGTGTCTCCTGATCCGTCGCTTGACTCCGCGCCCCAGCTGTCCCCCTCCTTATGCTCGCCGCAGTCTCCAATCACGCACGGCTGCAAAGGGACACATCAGCAGAGGTTTTAGACGGAAAAGTGTCACGAATCCATGTCACGTGAGGGAACATCGTTTCAATATCAATGCGGGGATGTTACAATGGACATTTACAAAATGGAGAGGATAACATCATCTGTCAATCACAAACTGGAACTATATGTGTCACGATGGAGAAAGTGGACTGGTTTCGTAAACCCTCATCGGCCAGAAGTCCTGATCACTGCCTAATGTTCGTATTTTTTACTGTTTTTATTTGATCTTTGTGTAAAAAAGAAAAAGGCATTTCGGACAGACAAACTTAAGATGTACAATTACTATGTATTGAAAAAACACTGTAATTGTTTGCAGGGTATATGCAGGAATCCTGAAGTCAAATGTAAGACCTTTTAAGACCTTTTTTAAGACCCTTTCCATACATTTTAAGACCTCATCGCCACTTTGAGTTTTAACCGGTTACATTGGCGACACACTTTACCTCACATTGACTATATACAGTATTGATTGTCCTTCCTCCTTATCTTCCAACCATTTGGACGCAAACTTGCATTTCCCCATAACGATGTTGTTCAACAACCGGTGTAAACGGACCTTCGCGCGCTATCAAGCAGTGAGCGTGCGATGTCCTGTCAAATCCAACGGGATGCCATAAATAAACTCCACAGAATCACACTACACACCTACGCAATGATTACATTCAGGCAGACTGTAGAATACAACCTCTTTGGACAATTTATATACTTATTGGAAACAAGCTACAAAATGTAATACCTTGGAAAATGCCATTTAATACTTTTTAATAGCCTTAATTTGCGCTAAATTGATTTATCAACTTTTAATACTTTTTAAGACCCCGCGGACACCCTGGTTTGATGCCAAATGTCAATAAAAACGTTATGTGGGGGTTTTTCTCTAATGAGGGGCCAACCTTGACATTTATAAAGCGTTCTTTTTAATATCTCATTCTGTATTTGAACCAGGTGCACTGCAGATTTTCAATTTAAAGATTTCTTTCTTCACATGGAAGGAAAGAAATCGAACAAAAGCACACTTGGAAGGAACACCAAGTCCACCATGGTGTTTTCTAAAAGGTATGCATTGGCAGCTTTGTCAAATGTTATTATTTTGGAAATACTTTATATATTTTGAACTAAAACAATGTACCTTTTCAGGGGCGTCCTCCGTGGTGTCGAGGGACTCCAGCAGTTTGACTATTCCCATCCCTTTTAGCACCTGTCCGAAGACGACATGCTTCCCATCTAAGTGAGGAGTGGCCACGGTGGTGATGAAGAACTGAGAGCCGTTGGTGTCCGGCCCGGAGTTGGCCATGCTGAGCAGACCCGGTTTGTCATGCTGCAAAGACAAAGGGAAATGATTACAAAAGCAAAAGATAGGCACAACTAACTTTCAAACACAGACATTTAAAAAAAGATAGGAGTGTTTGATTATTTCTTTTTTTTTTTTTACAATAGATAAGGAATACTAAGAGAGATATGCAAAAAAGATCCCTGCATACTCCAACCTAGAGATATGTGTCCATTGTTCAATATCCAACATACTAAATAAAGTTCAAATGAGAGTGATGGGGAATAGTGTAGACCCCTCCAAGTATTACAGTGGTGAACCCAGATAATGGGGATTCTGGTGATAAGTCACTTACAATGTAGTGGAAGTTTTCATCCTCAAACTTCTCTCCGTAGATGCTCTCTCCCCCGGTGCCATTCTGGTTGGAGAAGTCACCTCCTTGGATCATGAATTTCTTGATGACTGCCAAAAGCAAATTTATAGCCAGATTAATTTTCAGTAGAATTTATAGTTCCCTAAAACTTCAAGTACCATGTTAGTTACTACCCATTTAAAATACTATACTGTCATAATATGCATGAATAAGTGCCTATTTTACAATATGCAGCAGCTTCCTGTCGGTTCAACTTTCCATTATTGTGACTTCCTTATAAAAATTGAGCCATGCATGCAGTTTTACTTGTTCTCGATTATCCAAATAATCAAAATAGCTCTCAATAGGCGCTTTCACACCGGAGTACTTTTCCCAGTATAGTTCCGATAGTTCTTGAAATTTTGCGTTCACACCCCAAAAATCCGGAACTAGAACTTAGTTCATGAGAACCTTTTCACCCCCTTTTCAGTCCCTGCTAGAGAGCAGGTACTTTCATGGGAGAAAAAGGTTCCCATTTCTGATTGGCTGGGCGAATGGCAGACCACGCCCCGTAAAACTCGGAAAAGTTTTGTGAAGCGTTATTGTATTTGCTGGCATTAGCATTATTAGCATTAGCCCAGCGCACCAACGGAGAGAGAATAACTTATGGCAACACAAAAGAAAACATGGGAGCGGTGGAGATGAGGAGGTGTCGGCGTTCTAGCGATTTACTCTGAAGGCTTCAGTAGAAGCTGCTGGGAGTCCCAGCAGCTTCTACTGAAGCCAGTCCCCAACTCCGGGGACTTCCGGCCAGGGACTTCGGGTGGCAGTATATGCCGTGAAGTTGTTTGCGGCCTGCCAGTAAACCCAAAGCAGAAGAAGAAGAAGTGACGTCAGCGGCTTCATTTGCCTAAGCTTCCCTCAGGGACTTATTCCGGTGTGAACACGATCTGCTCTTTAGTTCATCAGAACTAAAGAGTTCTGATGAACTAAGTGCGGCAAAGTACTTGGTGTGAAAGCGCTTAATGCATTGGATGTCCTTTAAAGCTACTTTCACATGTCTTTGTGTACTAAAGTTTCAAAGTGTCCTGTCCTCCAATCTGAAATGTCACATGATGTGCAGCTGGGAAGGCTATTTATTTTACTTCTGTGGAAGGGGCATCCTTTGAAGTGCAGAGGCTTCCCGGTTGATTTGCCGATGCCTTTCTCTCCAGTGCAGAGCGCCCGGAAGTTTTCAGCAGTTTTGGGGACGATATCAGCAAAAAGCTCCAGAACAAGTCGGCCAGCTGTGGACGGAAAGAAATACATCAGTGCGGTGTTACAATAAAATACAGATTTTAATTGACTAAACAACTTACAGTATAGTCTGCACTAAGTTATCAAAAACTTTAAACATATAACAATGTTTTTAGGAAGCATTAAAAAAAAGTTGCTTGAAGTAAAATGTATTTTCTTTGTGGTGTTCGATGTGTAAGCTGCAAAAATAATAATAATACATACACCACTATGCCAGTATTAAACTACCTACATGCAGAGTAGTAAAAAAAGTAGAACTAACATAGTGTAGGAATAAAGTCCTGCATTCAAAATGTTACTTAAGTACTTAACTTACTAAAAGTACAAATGTATTAGCATCAAAATATACTTAAGGAACTAAAAGTATTCATTATGCAGAATGGTCCATTTCAGATTCATATGTATTATATGTTTTCATTATAACCACAGGGGGTTAGAGCCTTTGTGATAGTGTAGCAGAGATCAGTGCTGGTGCGGCTGGTTATGTGTTTTAATTGTTATAAACACAAATTCTGTAACTGAAATACCAATCGTGTTTTTTTTATGGCGATTTATTGTGCTCTATAATTGTTATACTGAACTAAAAGTCTTTTTTTTTGCCACATTAAATGAGCCCCTCACATAGAGCTAGAACCGCTACTGCTCTTGCTAAAGTAAAAGGTATCTTCAATGGTGTTTTTAATGTGTTGGCTGCAACCAGTTTGATAATACACTTGAGCTAGAATGAAGCTACCTACATGCATGATAAAAAAAAAACATACTGATATGACTATAACGCTATCTTACAGTCGTATAACAGGAAAGCTAGTGCTGAGTAAAGCTACATTTACCAGTCATTCTAGACAACACAACCACACGTGGTTCATACACTATCTCGCTTTCTAAATACCAGTCATCTTATTCAAAGTTCATGCTAGCTCTTATTAAATATTACCGAGCTACTTATGTCGATTTTTAGAAAGTGGTTCATCTGTAAACTGTTACGTTGATTGTTCTTGCAGCTACTAGCATACATCCGTTTCTACAAGTCACCACAGCTAGTTGTGCTAAGCTAACAAATGCTAACGACAATTGTGAAACTACTCCTTAGAAAAAAGCTGTTAAATAATATAAAAATGAAAATGGGCTGACCTCTTTCTCCGCCAATGTCTACATCAAAGAAGACACGAGGGTTTTCGGAGTTTGCAGGCTTTTCAGATGGTACTGGGTGAGACATTTTAAAGACAGGGCGATTTCTGACACTTGTTTCGGCTAACTTGGCTAATTCCGGCCGGCGTACTGAAGCAACGGAGTCAATGACTTCCGGTGAGCGCATTTCAAATTAAAAGTATTCTGTTAAAAATGCATTGCAGGATTTTCAAGTATTGGTAGGAAACGACATACATTACTGCGTTTGTTTGGCTTACAAATTCAGATATACAAGAACAAAAATAGTAGAAAAAATGTTCCCAATATGCCATTTTGAGAGAGCCTATCCTCTGTACTCGCACGCATGTGGTTCAATGAAACTTCCGGTAATGCAAAATACAATTCATATTAAGTTTCACTTTAATTTACTTTTTACGTGGACTTGTACTGTTACTAGTAGTGTTAATAGTTGAAATTTAAAATTGATCATTAAACATGTCCTCAATTGCAGTAAGACTATGTCAATCCCAGATCAAATGCACGCTAAAGGGTAATTGAAAATGTATTCTCTCAGTGATTGTGATGTTATGTTAAATGTTTGTTGTTTGTTTTTCATGTATTGTGTCTTGACATTTGTCTATGTTGATGTTACACATGGAGCTGCTGTGATGCAAGTCAAATTTCAGACTTGATATTACCAATAAAGTATTTTCGTATCTTGTCGTAATATTTACTATATCATCAATATAAGGGGGCAGCATAAGAGACGGTGACACCAGCAGGATCAATAAACTGATCAGGAAACCTGGGTCAGTAATCGGCATCAAGCTGGACCCCTTTGAAGCTGTGGTGGAGAGGAGGACACTGAACAGGCTGTTGTCCATCATGGATAACCCCACCCATCCTCTCCACCTGCAGCTGGACAGTCAGCGGAGCTCCTTCTCCAACAGACTGCTGCAGCTCCCCTGTCACAAGGACCGATACAGGAAAACATTCCTGCCCACTGCAATAATACTGTACAATAAATCACCTCTGGCTGGAAGAGAACTCTCTGCTCCATAGTTTATCTACAAATAAAACCACGTTGTACATTTTACTCATATAATCTGTTCAATATGTAATACTCCATATTCCATAATGTCATATATTTTGAATATATATATATATATATTTGTATATATAATATCTGCATGTATATTTTCTATTTCAACATGTATATTTTCTATTTTATTTTATTTTTCTTTCTATTCTTGTATATTTTGTAGTTTTGTTTTATTGTAAAATGCCTTGTCTATTATGCTGCTGTAACAAATACAATTTCCCAATTTGGGATCAATAAAGTACTATCTATCTATCTATCTATCTATCTAATATATTGCAATGAAAAAATGCACAATTAAATAAATGGGCTATTCACACTATAAAGCAGGCACTACAAAGTTAATTGTGGCTAATCCAGTGATTTCAATACATGAAAAAAACAGAAGATGATGTTGCACACAATAATATTTTCTTAATGAACCTGATGATATTTGCTCCTACTTGTAAACACTGGATGAATGACTGGAGTCAAAAACTCTTATTTTAACCGAATGGATAGACTTATTAAACATGCAACAACAGGCAATATGTGAATATTACTTTGTTTATTGTTGTCCACAAGACATCATTTTTCGGACAAACCACATAATTAGACAAATAGTGAAAAACAGATGTAGGCATCCTGAACTAACTGCAGCCCCTATGGATCCACTTCTTGTTTATGATGATTTCGACTCAGCCTTCTGGGATACACCTCTTGTTAATGCATACAATGTTCCGTCTCAACAAAATGCAATCACAACTTGCCTTCAGGCAGTCTTCAGACTGAGCCCAGCCTATTGAAGATGGGATTGTCTGCAAATTGCAGCCTACCTCGAGATATGGATATCTGTCTCTGGCTCTTTATTTGAAAATTGGTGATTTTCTGATGTGGCTCAGAATTTGCTCGGTTATCTACACCAGACATAAGTGGATATGATTACTTTAGCTGTGGGGATGGATTACCTGGTGCTTCTCATACAGACAATAACAAGTATATCTGTGATGCTCTGAGAGGTGCCTCTGATAAACAATACTGTTATTGTTGGAGAGAATCATCTGTTTTAGGAAGCAGTGCCACATCTGATATGTGATACTGCTTCGAGCTCATTGGCAAAATATAGACAAACATTTGACCCTTGTTTTTGCCAGTTTACATAGTTAGATGTACTGGAATTACAATAAGTTTAACTGAACTCAACGTGAACTCACACAAGTATTAGAGTTGTGCAAGAAAAGTTTGAGTCAGTATTGGATTTAATATTGGTCTGCAAAATGAAACTGGTAAAAAGTCCTGATGTTACTGAGATTAAAAGTATTTTTAATCAAACTCGACGCATCTTATTAAGAGCCAGGTCCTCCTAGGTCGTAGAAGCCAGCTGCGGTTAGGTCTGAATCTCTTAATGAAACTGTGTGTTGACTCGCAGTGAGTCATCCATCATGTTCTTCCTGGGAGGAAACAAATAGACACGGTAATATAAATGAATGAGCCGAGATCCATCAATGACCAACATGTCTACTGGTGTCTTTGGCTGAAGGGGTAAATGGATGCCTAACAACCAGACCGTTGCTGGTTCGCCTCATGGCAGAGCGAAGTGTGGTGTGAGGTAAGATGCCATGTGTGTGACATGGTGATCGTGTGACTTGGGAGGGTGGTCAACATGAGTACAGAGTACCCTGCAACTCCTGAATTTTTGAGGCGGCTGTGGCTCAGTGGTTAGTGTGCTGGACTTCGAATCAGAGTCCCACTGCAGTCAGCATGTCGTTGTGTCCCTGGGCAAGACACTTCACCCCAATTTGCTCCTGTGGGGAATGGATTGTCCACAGTACTGAATGTATGTAAGTCGCTTTGGATAAAAGCGTCTAACAAATGACATGTAATGTAATGTGTACCTACAGGGTGTGTTATTTCTTTTATATCTGTTTAATGTTCTATCAGATATTAAAGAAGAAGGAAGTCCCTTTTCATAGAGTCATTTAGTTGTTCAAAATACACCCAAGAGTTATGAACAACCTATTGATTTGCAAGAGAGATACTGTGAGCTAATTTGTTTGTAATCACTTGTTAAGGTGATACATTCCTTTTAGTCTTAAATGTCCCATACATTCAGTTCTCAATCCTCATGCATATGACTAAAGGGCTAACTGTAAAAAGCTTTATCCTGACTGATAAAGGAAACTTTTCCGTCTAAATATTTTCTTTTAGAGAAGACATTTAGAAATTTCAAAAGTAAATGTAATCTCTTAAACCATATGTTGATAGCAGGCTGAGCTAGTTTTGTGTCTATTCTACTTTTTAGTGTCCTTCTGTGTCTCTTTAGTGTTTTGTAGTACTAGTTTAGATCACTTTATGTCTTTTTGGATTGTTTTTTGTGTCTTTGAGGTCATTCTGTGTCTCTTTATGGTCATGTTGTTTGTATCTGCTGACATTTTGTTTTTCGTAAACCATACGTTTGTTATTTATTCTTGACTGTAACGAGCTCAATGTTTTATTCAGAGAACAATAAGAAGTCTGAAATGTTTCGTTTGATAAATTATAATGCACTATGATGCCAATGTATATGAGGCGGCATAACAACAAGAGAGTCTCCCTAGTCGAGGAAAGACATTCATCTTGCCGTCTAAATAGTTTTTCGGTCGAAAGAAGATCGACATCATCCATTCTATAGAGGAACTGGCTGGGTTTGAGCGTATCACTTTCAGTTGCTCCTATCACTAGCAGCAGAAATATTGCTTTAACCTCCCACAATGCCAGCCCCGGGGAAATCATGCATCAGACCATCTCTTTAAGTTTTCGCCTCGAGTAGCTGTGTGTGGCTCTGCATACTTTCGGGGTATATTGCTAGGATGAAGCAGCCTTTTTGACACATGCTGTTGATAAAACATCCTCACACAACCATCTCCAAAACTTTGAAGCAGGCGGCTCCTTTTGCACAAGAGTTGCTATGGGATAAGTAGCTGTATAAGCTGGGGCTGGTTGCCTTCATCACTTTCTTCTCTTATCATCAGTGGGATCTCTTTTCATTTTAACAAGTTGCTGTGCCTGCATATCAGGTGGGACATTAAAAGTATATCTTCATTTTTGTTCTTCTCTTATCCATCAGACCATAGCTGAGCCTTGTTATTATTTCCAAACACATGATACCTTTGCAGTAACTCCATATATTACTTGTCTCAAAATCTAAGAGATAGTATTTGGTATTTCTTTTTTTCATGGTCTTATCTAGAGAGTACAAACATGTTTTACCCATTGAAGTCTAATGCCTGTTAAACGCAGCCTATGTTTACTTTAATTACTTTTTTAAGTTTCTTTAAGGTAATACGATGTGAGTAATGTATATACAAATGGTCATTTTGGAGGTGAAGTATCCCTTTATGCGGACACTAAAATAAGAATCCATAACCTGGCAGTATCTGGAGGTCCCATTACGCTCTTGTGCTCATTACAGATAGACAAACAAAATGACTGAATAATGAAACATTGATACACATACATAGGATGAGAAATTAATTTAACGACTGAGTAAGTTCTTAGTTTGTCAAAGGACTTCCAGACCTGCTTCAATGCACCTTTGCATAGATTATTCAAGTCTCTGGGATTCGATGGCAACAAAGCCTGGAGCTAAAGCAACATTAAGGACGCTAGTCACATCCAAATTAATATATAATTTTGTTAGAGGAGATGCATTCAACATTTGCAGTTTGTTACTTGTGCAATGAAAATAAAGTTGAATTGGATAATAGTGTTGTTTGAAAATGAGCGTAAGGTCCCTTTCAAAACAGAAATAATCATCCTGTTTTAATTGTGCTATGTTTGGGTTATTTAAGAAAATAATAGTTTTGAGTTGTTATGTATGTGTTTTGTTAGGTAGTTTTTGTGTTTGTGGTGTCCATGTCTCTCTGGCTGATTTCTCATGGTTTGCCTGAGGTGGTGTGTGTTCCTGCAAAAGTGGAAGTGTTGCATTATGGATGTGGAAGCAGATAACCCACAATGCAGTCACTCAACGCAGTGCAAACCTGAGATGTTCGCACTTATCCATTCGACACAGCACACACACATGTAATACGATTCTGAGAAATTCAACGTGTGCAATGTTACAAATGCTGTCTTACTGACTGCTCTGGAACCTGTGAGACACTCTGTCCTCCAACGCTGTCCGTAACTCAGTTTTCTGTCAGAAAGGAGGACAGTTTAGTTTGATTTATTCCTGTTTTCGTTATCATAACTCTTTAAGTTCTGTAAGTGGAGAGGCATATTCCCGGTTGAGAAAAGATAGAGTGATGAACAAAAATCATTAAATGTCATCCAGAAATGATGTATTGTTCTACTGTTTATCCAGGCATTAATTACAGTCCTGCATACAGCATCATATTTAACCATTCTCAAAGTCATGCTCACCTTGTGGCACACTAACTGAAGTATAATGCTTCTTCATGCTCATTTGCATAAGACACATATGGTGGATTTAGCCGTACCTTAATTTGCATGTTGCTGAGCAGCGTCCCACTGTTCAGCAGCTGGTTGTACTGCAGGCCCCAGCCCACCTCCCCCACATAGCCCTGCCTGGGCATGGGAGGGGGGGCATGTGTGGCACCTCGGCACAGGTACCTGAGGTCACCTGTGGCCTCTGCTGAGGAGGCGCCCACACCGATGTACCGGGGGAAATAATTTGATCTTGGCCGGTAGTCTCCAATTCCATCTGGGCCTTGTTAGAAACAGTGGACATGTGAGGAAAGAAGGTAAACAAATATCCAAATGAACCTGAGCCTTTAGTAGTTACGGTTCTACAGTCACATATGTGTAAGGAAGAAAGAAAAAAGAGTGCATCAATGTGTTTTCTTTAAAACATGCACTCTCTGGTTGACTTTTCAATTAGTGTAAGCAGACGTCTACACATGAACACTGACATCTACATAACTGTGAGCAGTATCCCACCAATTTTTCATATCCTGAAGTCTTCTTTTTGTTCCCTTTTTGTGTTTCTTTGTTCATTTCAATTTCTTATTCTCAGATTTTCTTTGCCATGAACATTGAGAGCTGCTAAAAATATAGAAAAGATATGAGAACAAAAGTAAAACATGATTTCTTGGACATTGACCATACGTTTTGGACCTTGAATTGTTTGAAAATAAGGGTCTTCAAACTTACTGTAAACTGGGTATGGCAGTCTAACAATATTCCCTCTAATATACTATTGTGGTCATAACATCAATGACAGCTTTTTTTGTATACACACTATCTACTTCCTCTAATGCACTGTAAAATACTGACCTAATAAAGGTGCATGCTCTCCATGTTTCTCCTACCTGTAAAGATCATCCTCTGTCCGGGCTGTGGCCCTCCTGCAGCTGCCTCACTGTTTTGCATCATTGTTTAGTTTAGTTACAGTCTGTACATACATCTATATAATGGGCCCTCTGTGGATAACTCGAGCCCAGCGGTCTGCTCTGTCCATGGGGTCATGGTCGGTTGTCATGCAACCAGTGGTTGTCATGGTGTCACTGGTTGTGTCCTAGTTACATCATAAAAACTGTATGCTTCTGCTATTGAAGCATGTCTATTTGAAAAAAGAAAAACACTTCCATACGCTTATTTGAAGCTAATGCACTTGCAGGATTCTTCCAGTTATTAATATGTGCAGATGGTTGAATGTACTAATTTCAAGTGGTTTTGGATCAAGCTTAATGAAATATATGTCACTTTTAATGTACATTTACTCCCTATTACTTAATGAAATAGATTGAGATAAAGGTAGACATACCACATACATCTTATCAGAGAGCTGGTGTAAAAATGGTTTCCTTTCTCTCTTTTATTTTTAGTATAGCGAACAATCCCATTATATTAACTGCATTATAAATAGCCTTGGTCTGTGGCTATTCATATTCTCAGACTGTGGGATTTCCCTCAGACAAAGCTTTGGAAAAGGCACTCCCCCATCCCCCCTTTAGTTTTCTTGTTTAGTTTCGCTTAATGCGTGGATGCTTATGGGATCATCATTATGTTAACTTCATCCCAGAGACACTCAACCATTGAGCTGAGAATGCCTTTTGCGGTTTGACATAACTCCAGACTAAAACAAATGCATTACAAAATGTCTGTCCTATAGGGCATTTATTTGTTTCTGGGGAAAGTGGGAAAAGCTGTATTTTGGTAATGGCTAATCCCCAATAAACGTGTCTTTTTGACTGTGTCTTTGTATCTTTTTAACCAAATCACACAGAGTTAGGGCTTTTTTATGAGATCTTCATTTGATAACTTGTTCCACTTCTATTAAGTGAAACTGTATAGACACTCTGTGGAGCTCCTTGGGAAGGCCACTCCCAACAATAAACATTTTGTTATATCATTGTGTGTCTTCATACCTGGACCTAAACACGTGTAAGTCAAAGGTATTATAGTGTATTAATTATGTATGTATCTATCTATTCATCTGTTTTCTTATTTCTTAGCCTCGGGATTAATACAAGTAGTATTCTTCTTGTGTTCTTCCTGAGCTGCTTTACATTTCCATCTTGGATAAAAAAAATACAATCTTACATTTAAAACCCTGTGGAAACACTGTAGCGTATGTGTCATTATCTTATGATGTCGTGGAGTTATTTAAAAAATAATTGTTGTGGATACAAATAGAGATAAAAAGCTGCCAGAATGGTTTATCCGTACAATTCAAGTGTGTTTGTCTGTGGCACACAATAATGAGTTTACATTCACTTAACTCTGCAAGGACATTTATAAGATATTCGGTTATCTTATCTTGATAAAATGCACAAGTAGGCCTATTACTAGTTTTTCTTTTAAAGCCATAATTATCGCATGCATAGTTGTAGTCATATCAATGTGTATTACCTCATTGGGTCACTAGGTGGTTGCAGAGCATCACTTATCCACACTCCACTCCCCCTTCCCATTCCTACTTTTGTTCCATTTTTCTTTTTTTGTGAAATGGACTCGCCCATGAGCCGCCCCTTGTGTCTACACCATACACCGCCGTCAAGTCAAACACAGAAAGCAACAGCTGGACAGGAAATGGAATGATTATGCCTTAAAAATAAGATATGAGTTCATTGAGAACACCGAGCAATATAATAAGCAAATATAATGAAAGTATTGCCTTGGAATCACTGAATCAAGAGCATTGAGCTAATTAAATATTGGAATGTACTAAAACAGATCATAATGTCACTGCTTGGTGCACAGAAGGGACAGCTGGTAGTCTACTGCATTTCATGCCGTATCGACGTCTACTGTAAAATGAGCATCTGTCCTTGATTTTGATTTGAGTTTTTGGAGGTAATCTGATAGGCTATTTAATGTAATAAAAAAAGCAATAGTTATGCATTCATTATGACATTTTGCATTATTCAAGGATTTAAAGATTCAAACATGTAAAGATTGTTAACGTCATACAGAGCTGCAGTGTAGTGGTGCAATGAAAAACCTGGATCACAGGTTACTCAAACAATGAAATATACATATATACAAGACATACGAAAAATACAAATACATTAAAAAAACAATAAAAAAACTGCAAGCTCGGGGAATTTATTGATGCATGCAGAGGAAATTATATTGCAGAGAAAATTCAATTTTGAGGAGCTAAAACAATAACCTGTATATTAATTTACCTCAGACCCCTCCCTAAATACAGCGTCCTTTTCATTGTCTCTTTGTATTGACAGTGACACCGTCAAACACGTTGGAGTTTTATTTTGAACATCTTTACAGGAAGTGTAACCGTAAACTGTGTCCGGCTTTACCCCGCTGTGTCAGTCACCATGGTGGCATACAACAGAGCACAGCGGCGGCGGACCTATCTCCACTTTTAGCTCCATTAAAAATGCTAAAATAATGGGATTTCTCTGTGAGTGCTCTCGGGTCTACCTCTAAAAATGGACTTAGGTGTATTACTGACAGGTTAGCAGTTTCGGTTAGCATACTTTTTTGTGTTTGCTGGTGCGTAATTTCTTTCCGTCGCTAGCAGAATGCTGAAGAGACAAGGAATGGCTTTCATGAACGCTGGCTTGGATAAAGGGACATTTTCTGCACTAAGAAAATAACTCAAAAGAGACAGTTTGAGCTGCGGCTTTGTGAGAAGTTTCCTCTCGGTGGGACGGGTGTTGGCAGCCGGTTTCGGGCACAGACAGACAGACACCCCGAGGAGACTGTCGGCTGTCTGGCTCCAGTCGTGGCCTGGCACTCCCAGCTTATCCGCTAGCATCGGGATCACAAGCGACAAGAATACAGCCAAGACAGCAAGGGGGGGCACTTCTTTTGTTTATATCCGTGGCTCTGGATATTCATAAACATTTATACAGGATAAGGAATTCAATATCCTGCAGACGGTGTCTTCCAAAACAATGGCGTCCTATGTGGATAACAGCTTTCGGCAGGCTGTGATGATGAATCCGGCTGAAAGGACGCAACAGGTCAGAAGAAATTATGTATTATACTAATGGAATGTGATGTAAAAGTGCTCGTATGCGGTGTGCTGTTACTTTACGGCATTGCAACACTGTATGTACATCCTGCAACAGTGTGTTTCTGTGTGCAACTGTTGCCATTCAGCTTGTTCAAGTGTTACGTATGGCTACATCCCGCTAAACCCTCTATCAGCAAAGATAATCAAGACTACTTAACATAACAGGAGCTGGAGCCTTGGTGGGAATCTAAGATAATCTTGCAGCATGTGTGTTTGTGCATCCTGCTTTTAGCATTTTAGACTTGTGCAGGTAGTAAAAAGCAGTCCAAACTTGCTGGTGCAAAAAATTGATTCATAAAAATTGTGAATAAGTAGCTTTTATGAGAGACACAGGCTAATCCAAACCTAGCTAATAGCCTTTACTAGCATACCAAAACAGACCCTACCCTTCATTATTTTTATCAAAATGTTTTGCACACATTTGAAAGTCGTCGGGGTTAAGACTATCTTTGGGGTAGTTTTAGTATAGTTTTGGCATTTACTGAACCACATAATTGGTCTACTTAAGTTCTGTGAAAATAATTAAATAGTGTTTTCTTATTTCTTGTTTTTCAGGAAAACAATCTGAAATCCTTTCTGTCCCACAGTGTTACAGCAAAGGGGACAGTGTAGATACAAAGGGCAACATGAAATTAGTTGACAACAATTTAAAGCTGAGCACTGCCAATGCATAATGTCCCGTCCCCATTATACATCAGGTTTTTGTGTGGAGTTGTTTATCTTCTGAACATTTAAATCCTGTGGTTTCACCGACACGCACCTCGTTTTGCATGACCTCCAATAAACAGCTACAGATACATGCACTAAATCCTGGTTAGTTGTGGAGATGGCATCATTTTATTTGAGCGCTGCTTTCACTGCATCTTCAGCATGGCTTTACACACAATAGACAGTCAATCGGCCACCACTTAAACCAGTGTGGGCTACAGTTAGTGGCACAGCCGCCTGACTGTCTATTTGACATTGAGGAAACGATTATGGTGTCATCGTCGGCTTGTTAACAGTACAAGCCCATGGTCTTTACAGCTTTGTGCAGGCTATAATTTGTACCGGTGGCAGATTCCATAATGGTTATGGAAACAGATACACTGATGAAGAATTTGGTTGGCATCAGTAACAGCAATGCTCATCTAAAAGCATTATAGTCTGTAAGGTCTGAACGTTTGTTATAATTTCTGATGAATCTGAAGTTTAAATTCTCACATGTGTCCATCAAATACAAAATTAAACAAAAATGCCCCTCAAAGCTTCTTTGAGCCAAAAGGAATGTCATACAAGTCAAATCTTCAACACAATCAATCAACCATTATATGATTTAGCAAATGTCGCCCGGGAGAAATTTGACTGAATTCTCATTTGTTATTTGCCAATTTATTTTGATTACTTTACAAGAAATTGCTTGTATTTTATTCAGTAGTGGAGGTTACATATGTGATTAGTTTCCCACCAAATTGGTGATTTTCTCAGTTGGAAATAGTTGCAGGTAGTTTTGATGATATGTTCCTTTAAATAATTAGAAATAGCCTATCAGTGTTCTTTATTGTTGAGATGAGAGTGAGGATGTGATTCAGAACTGACATGTGATAAAACCTGCACATCCTGCTAACTACCTGAGACAATTACATCCACATGGCTTTCACTGTCATCTACGCCTGAATGCTTTTAGTGAGACTTTCCAAACATGACAGAATTTCTAATCTAGAACATAGTCTGATTTATAGATACTGAGGCTTGGAGCACACATGGTATGAACCAAGGATGTGTCAATCAATATGCAAACATTTCTATCAGGAAGTCTTTGAAACTATGATTAATGAATGGAGAGGAGACTAGGACAGTTTGAACACTGACTAAATGAGTTTCAAAATCCTTCACGAAAAGTCTAGTACCCTAAAAAGACATGCACGACTGATTGCATCCAAATATTACAATATTCTTTTACCAAAAAACTCATTTGCCTTGACACTTTATGGTTGACTTTATGTGCTTTCTTAGTGGATATAGAGAAACAATCGCAATTCCAAAAGGACATGCCATCACTATACTGTAATGCAGCCTTTAAAACCTAGAAAAGACAACACTTCTGATATGCAAAATCTAAGACGATATCTTGTCTCATATTACAATATCCATGTAATATCAATATATTGCCCTATAAGTCTTTTTGCCCTGGTTTTGAAAAGCAGTACATTCCTGTATTCTGTGATTGTTCTGCAGTAAAACCAAGGAGACATGTTCATAATAACAACGTCTTTTCGACTTTAATCTTCATGGTGTTGAATATCTTGTGACTGTGTGGTTGTTTTTCAATAGCAGCACCTTCTCCGGTGTTCTTTTCAAGTGTCTAGCGACCGTGGTGCCTGACTCTGTTTATCCTAATGGTGTTGGCAGGGCCTCTCCGTCGGGATTAGCTAACGGTTAGCGGGATCTGTATTTATCTCTCCAGTCTGACCACAGTGGGATTGACCCTCTGCCTCGCCCTATTGTCACATGACAGGTTCAATAACTGCCCACTTGACAGCTAGTGTTCACACTGGTTTTGTCAGTTTCCTCTGCGTAGATTTGGACTGTAACAGGGAGTGCAGTGTGTTTTTCTCTCGGCGTACAAAGCAGGCAATCTGATATTCAGGAGCGCAGAGGGGGCTCTGTAATGCACCGCTGCACAGTTTTGCAGTTCCGATACGAAATATGATAACATGCATGGCAATTTCATCTCTAATTTATTTTTGATCTTGAAATGAAATCATGAATCTGGGGGTTATAACATCCCGTTGAATAAATCAGCATTTTTAAACATGTATTGTGGTTTGGGGTTTCAATTGAGTTAGTTCAGCAACATATTTGACCTTTAGACTTTACCTCCTTTTTCAGATCTGTAAAATGTATTAATCTATTATTCAACAAAAATTGTTTTAGTCATGACTAAAATGATTTTTAGTATTGCTGTAATATTACAGTATAGTTTTAAAGTGCTGTATACATTTCCCGCCTAAGGATAATATTCCCACAATGCAGCAGCACTATGTACAGTAACATTACAGTATTGCTGTAATATTACAGTATGGTTTTAAAGTGCTAATATTCCCACAATGCAGCATAATGTACAGTATCACACTGTATTACAAATTCAAAGTAAATTACTGTGGGTAATTACAGACATTTGTTACAGTGCAACTACAACATTCTTTAGACAAAGACATCTCTACCCAATGGTGCTGTTCAGATGATGGATTTCATCATTGTGGACTCAATCCACTGAGGGTTCTTGGGGGTTTTATCTGAAAGAGCTTCTCCCCACTGTCTCCCCTTAGGGAGGTCTTTTTATTCTCTGTTCAGAAAGACTGCAGGAGATCGGACACATGATCAGATTTGCAGGCGACACAGTGACAGAGAAACTGCCTCGGATATATACGAGTCTATATTTAGGAAGCGCACACTCATGTTTATCAGATCCTTTAACTCAATCAATCAAAGATATGGCAGTGGATTCTGTTAGACACCACAGCATTGCAAACATGCTACCTTGACATTTTATGCGTTTATTTCCTTTTCGTAGCAATTTGGACTGTCAGTCAGACAAAATAAGCTGTCATACGCCCTCTTTTTAAGTCTGAAAATTAATGTTTGGCTATTAAACGAATCCTACTTTAATTATAGTTCCTTCCCTAGAATGCTTGTTCGTTATCAACCATGATGTAAGGACTGTGTGTGTGAAAGTGGTATCTCTGACATGTTTGTTTGTCAGGTCACTAGGTGGGGGTCGGGCTAGTCGTCCAAACTCCGCTTTGAACTCTGTTTTTCACTTGGAATAGTGTGTGGTGCGTGCTTTGAGAAATGCTGGTTCATGTTGTTCATAATAATAATAATAATGTCATTTCTGTCGTCCATTGGGCTAAACTGAACTGATTTGAACCGTATTTGTAGATGCAGCATTTGTTTCTTTAACTGTGGGCCATGATTATGAAACATCTCGAATCACTTTCTGTAGTCTTATAGGAACACAAACCTGCACAGGTAAGTCCTTTGTCTTTTAGCGTGTGTGTTGATGTGCACTAAGAACAGTCCTCTCTCCTCTTGTTTGGCCAGGTGTTAAAGCTAAAGGTCACAAACAACAACAGTCCTCAGCTGAGGTGACCCTGCTTCACAGTCACATATCTGCAGGGGCAAGCTGCCTACTTTGTTTCCACATATTATTCACAGGAGATCAGCACAAGCCTGCGGTGACTGTACTGAACGAGAGTGAAAACAAATGCATCTGGGCCGGATATTCTTGACCTCAGTGACTGAAAAATAAATCTGAATTTCCAGGCCGTTAGCCCGTCATTACTCAAACTCAAATACAAACGGTGAGAAGTTAAATGGTCCAGCTAAAATAGCAAACATTCAAATAAACAAATACTCCTTTTCAACAACCGTGGCCTCATAGAACAACATTCAATAGAAACACATAAGAGCCAAGCATAACAGACCTAGTAAAAATGTATTTGTTTTAAAAATATTCTAAAGGAAAACAGTATTCACTTAACTTAAAGGTGGGGTAGGTAATTTTGGAGAAACCTGCTCGAGTGCGCTAGAATTTGAAAATACACAACCGGAAGAAATCTGCTACTTCCTTCCAGAGCCCCTCCTCCAACACACACGAACGCGCACATGACCAATGAGGGCACGAGATAAGTTTGTGCACAGGTGGAAGGCTGACAGGCAGGTAGGCCATCCAGTTATTTTAGCCGGGCCGGCTAAAATGATTGGTCGTGCTTTTTACAGTATTACGGCTTCCACAGATGACATTTTGTTATGGATTTTTTGTCAAAGCACTTAAGATATTCATTGCTATCGGGATGTTAAGAGCATTCCATGGAATATAACAAAAAGTGTATCTCGAGCCGGTTTCTCAAACTTACCTACCCTACCTTTAATAGGCAATTGGGCGATATTGCATTACATTTC